CCCCCGCCCCCCAGGAACCCTGGAGCAGGACGGGGGCTGTGTCCCCCCCGCCCTGTGCGAGTGCCTGGACGCCGGGGGGCACCTTTGGGTGCCGGGGGGGGGCGGACACCCCCGGGGGTGCCAGAACTGCACCTGCGCTGGGGGGCGGCTGCGCTGCATCCCGGGGGGGTGTCCGGCCCCCACCTCCACCCCCGGGACCGCCCCCGGAGCTCCCCCCTGCACCTGGAGCCGCTGGAGCCAGTGGGGAYCCTGCAGTGTCACCTGCGGGGGGGGGCGGCAGGAGCGGTACAGGTGAGGGGGGGCACGGGGGACTGAGGGGGGACACAGAGGGGACACGGGGGTTGAGCGGGACACGGCACCTTGGGGACACGTGACACATTGCGGGGGACACGTAACTGTGCGGACAGAGATCTTGGGAGAGGTCACGGTATCTGTCCGGGGGTCACGACATTGGGGGGCACGCGTCACCTGTGGGAGGGCCGAGTCACCTTGGTGGGGACACGAAACCCACGGGAACACTTGACACTGGGGTTGCGGGGACACGTGTGGTGCYAGCCGGGTCCCCGACACCCCGTGTGACCCCCCTGCCTCCCCAGGACTCCCATCCCTACCGAGGGCTGGGGGAGACCCTGCGGGGCCCCCCAGGAGCAGATTCGGGGGTGCGAGGAGACCCCCTGTCCCCCCCTGTGCCCCTGGGCGGGGGGCGAGCGGGGGCTGGGCGAGCGCTGGAGCCCCGAGCCGTGCCGGCAGTGGTGAGCTGGGGGGGCTGGGGAGGCGGGGGGGGGCTCTGAGGGCCCCCCACCCACCGCTTGTGTGTGCCCCCCGCAGCACCTGCACCCCCGAGGGACCCCAGTGCCAGGATACCCCGTGTGCGGCAGGTACGGGCGGCGGGGGGGAGCAGGGTGGTCACACAAAGCATTGGGGGGGTCTGGAGGAGCCTTGGGGGGTCCTGGTGGTCTGGAGAATTCTGGGTGTTGGTGGGGGATCATGAGGGTCATGGGGACCCGGGGGATCCTGAGGGTCCCGGTGACGCTGGTGCCCCCCGTGGCCCCCAGAGCCGTGTGACTGGAGCCCCTGGGGGTCCTGGGCACCCTGCGGAGACCCCTGTGCTGGGGGGTCCCGCCTGCGCCACCGGCACCCCCTGAACCCCGAGATCCCCGAGCGGGAATGCGGTGGGGTCCAGACCCAGAGCGAGAGCTGCAACTCCACCGGCTGCCCCGGTAATCCGCCGGACCCCCACCCTGGGGACCCTCTCCCCAACAACCCCCACCCTGCGCCGTCGAGACCCCCATCCCGGGGATGCTGAGSGGGTCCCGTGCCCCCCAGAGCCGAGCTGCGGAGGCGGGGGCCGGACCCGCAGTCCCTGCGCCGGGCGSTGTCCCCGGACCTGCGCCGACACCTGGGCCCAGGTGCTGTGTCTGCAGGGGCCCTGCGAGCCAGGTACGGCCGGGGGCTGCCCCGTCACCCACGGGCGTCCCCTGTGTCCCCCCAACACCCACGGGTGCCCCGCGTGCCCCGCAGGATGCCGGTGCCCCCCCGGGCAGCTGCTGCAGGACGGTCACTGTGTCCCGCTGAGCCGGTGCCGCTGCGGGATCCCCGGGGGAAGAAACGGGAGCCGCGAGGTGCCCCCGGGGACCGTGACCCAGATCGGGTGTCACRACTGGTGGGTGACACCGCGGAGGGGGGCACGGCGGGACGGGCACGGCTGAGGAACACGGGGGACACGGTGTGTGGGCAACGTGACACGGGGACAGACACGGGGCTGGGGGACACGGGGTGACGGCACGAGAACACCGTGGCAGCGGAACGGACACGGTGGTGGCAGTGTGACGGTCACAGAAACGGTGGGAGGGGCACGGTGACAGTGTGACGGGCACAGGGGGACAGGGTGGGACGGGCACAGTGGTTGTGGGACGGACACCGTGGCGGTGCCACACGACGTGACATACGGGCGGTGACGGTGACACACGTGTCATCCCCGGTGCAGCACCTGCGAGAATGGGACCTTCACCTGTCCGGTGCTGGCGTGTCCCTCCCCGGGACCCGCGACCCCCGCGACCCCCGCGATCCCCGTGTCCCGCTGGTCCTCCATGTCCCCCCTGTCCACCTTGTCCACCGCCGTGTCTCCTGTATCCCCGCTGTCCCCCTCGTCCCCTCTTTCCCCCACGACCTCCATGTCCTCCCTGTCCCCCGCCGTGTCCCCCTGGTCCTCTTGGTCCCGCTGCTCCCGCAGTTGCGGCGGCGGGACCCGGACGCGGCACCGGCAGTGCCGGGAGGGTCCCGGGAAGGGGTCGCGGTGCGGGGAGAGCCCCGGGGAGGAGACGGCGGCGTGTAACCCCCACCCCTGCCCCGGTGAGAG